TGGTGATGAAAAATGGATCCTGTACAACAATGTTCAACGCAAAAGAACATGGAAACAGGCACACGAAGGGCGGAACCGATGTCGAAATGTGGATTGCATCCGATGAAGGTACTGCTGTGCATGTGGTGGGATATCCGAGGCGTGATCTATTTTGAGCTCTTACCAGCTGAAGAAACGATCACTGCCAACAAGTATTGTCAGCAATTAGTCGAATTGAAGAAAGCAATTGATGAAAATCGTCCGATTTTGGCCAATCGCAAAGGAGTTCTTTTCCATCATGACAACGCCAAGCCACATGTTGCAAAACCGACCCTGGCCAAACAGAAGGAGAGGAATTAGAAAATCATGCCGTATCCCTCATATTCACCCGAAATTGCACCTTCTGATTATCATTTGTTTCGATCGCTGCAGAACAATTTGAATGGAAAAAAAATTTAAAAATGTGGAAGACGTCAAAAACCACCTTGACACCTTTTTCAACGAGAAACCGCGCGATTTCTATGAATCAGGCATCCGTAAATTGGTTGAACGTTGGGAGTGGATTGCCGAACATGATGGCGAATACATAATTGATTAATAAAAGCGCTTTCTTCAAAAAAAATTTCAATTTTAGTTTGCACTTGAAATCGGGCACGAACTTATGCACTCATCCAATATATTTACTTCTTGGTCTTCGGAACTATTTCTAAGCGTGTTTTCTAGCAATTTCAATAATTTGAGAATTTTTTGTAGGAACCTGACCTTAAAAATCCTGACTTGAAATATACCATATACCATATGAAATTGATTCAAACAGATCCCAACGAGCACTTTATGCTTATTTAGTTGCATAGTTGACAGTTAAGGCGGGGAAAATCGTTTCAATTTTTGAATACTGGCATTTTGTTGCCACGTGGTTTTGTGTTGCGAAACTTTCTTCCGGAGTATTTTACGTAAAATTAAATAGTTATCTACTACCAGCATCCGAAATTACCCAAAATTTTTGTAAAAGTGTTGTGTAGTAAAATTGGCAAATCGCAGGTAAAAAGGATTCTTAATTATTGCCTTTTTTCACAACTTTTTTATGTGGGATAAAAATACATTTTAGTACCTATCAAAACGACTGTTGGGACATTTTAGTCCCAGAACTCTATATCCTGTAAATTAATTTGTTTTTACGGTATTGATTTTATCACCAAAAAGATCTGCAATCAAGTCGTCTGGAAACGGTTAAATATACATAAATGAAAAATAAGTCATAAATTATTTCTTAAAAAAAGGTTTAGATTAAAAGCCTTCTAGAGCAATATTCAATATTGTTCAATATTCTATAAAATGATAAATATTTCTTTTTATACTTTCAAAAAAGAATCTAGCATCGATGATAATTCACAGAGCGTGAGTTCTTAATATTGAACAAGTATTGTATTTTAATTTTTTTATTTGATAACATAATCAACTTTGAAAGAATTTTTTTGTTTTGAAAAGAGTCCATAATTACACACATGATTATTATATACATCAGTGAACGCAGAGTATGTTAAACCAATTATTTTATAGATCACGGTATCAACAGCCCATAATGCTGCCACAAAAGTCCCATCGTCTTAAAAATGCTGATCACATTGGCTGCTTAGCTCATGTTTTAGATACTACATTTGACGGTAAAAATCACAACATAATCTATAAAATAAGTCAACTTTAAATCATCGCACAAAAATTATTTTACTTAATCCCCTTTATATTTACAATGAAATGCTGCAACTCATGCCAAACTGAACTCGAAGTGACTCTATCCTCCACCATATGTCGTTTGCACTTTAAACATGGTTTATGTTATTGTGCATATGTGTCACGTATTAAGTACCAGCAAGTTCCCACTGCAGCAGCGATGTCAATTATCCTTCCTTTAGAGGCATTACTTTAATGCCAATGTGTTGCAGCGTTCATAACTAGGAAGATTGCAACATTTATCAGCAGATGTTGCCGCCTTTCTACGGCCATAACATAACCGTAAAATGGTAATAGTGTGAGCTACTTACCTGCTTACCGGAAAAGTAGCACTGCCACTGCATACTTTCAACTGCCTTATCCCCAAACGTGACTGCAGCATGACTGGCTGCATTCAACTGTAATGGAAGTGATGAGTACTTTTTAGGTTATTTAGAATTATACGAAAAGCAGCTTGGAGAGAAGGAAATGACTGTTTAAATACATACACACCTACATATATGCAAACTTTTAATAGAAAATGGGGGGAAAAAAATAGTTTGGAAAACGAACAGTTTGGGAAAAATATTTAAAAGATGGCACAATGTTGCAGTTAAGTGTTGAAAGAAAGAATACTTACTTACTAGCTGCAGCTCTGGATCCACTACACGAGTAAGCAGTTTAGTTTAACTTATATTTTATTCATATCTTCATTAGGCAATTACGCACACAATGTGAGACCGAACGGGAAAAAAATAACACTTTGGCATTCCCACCTATCCACACAACCATATACAATGCATATATATGTATGTATGTGCATGCCCTGCAGGTGTTTGCAAGTGTCCATCATGGTCTGCTTCTCCAATATAGTTCTCCTAGCATGTATGTATGTATGTATGTATTTATTCGTTGTAGTCAAGTCTTTTATATGCAAAGACAGAAGAGCGTTGCAAATGCAGCAATTTATATTTCAAGTTAATGCAACCCAAAATCAATTCCGTTGGTTAATACTGCGATACAAGGGAAGTAGGAAAGTAATAAGGGCGCAAGACAAAATGAAGTATTGGATGCTTTCAAATTCGAGTTGTAAAGTAGGCAAGGTGATTACATATTTATGCTAGAAGTTGTCCACGACTTCGTCCGTATAGAGTTCTAAGATGGTACTAATAAGATGTTTATTAGGTTTTTGTGTTGTATCTTTTATAGTTACTACTATCAAGCAAATCAAACTATGAACAGTTTTTTTTCGGACAGGTCTCCACATTCTAACGTTGACAAAGCGCCACCTACGTGAGTTCCACAAATTAAGCAAAACAGAACCACTGATTCGACTCCAGGGACTCCAAATTTCAAAATAAACTCTATTTTTTCGTATAGATCGGTCCACTCTCTGGCGAGTGGTTTCGTACCCGATGTAAACGTCTTACACTGAACACAACGTCCAAGTTTCAGGTCTCTGCGATCGGCGGTTACGGTTGTGGGTTGATCCGTCAGGCATTTGGGACGAAATATTTTATATTCATGTTGATAAGCATAAGTTATATATTTTAGGAAAATTTCTCATGGAGTAGAGTGAAAAATACACGTCAACCGAGCAAAAAATGCTCTCTTCGGTCATACTGATGTTGTTATGACTAGACCTACAGTTGTAAACGAGATACGAGTATATGATACCCATTAAATTTGAATGGTTCCGATGAGTGCTCAAATTTCGTTCAAATATCTGAGAGGCTGTTGCTCTGGGCCTATACAAGGAATCGCAAGCTAGCTGCAACGCAGTTAGATTGAATGCAACTCATCCTTGGAAAAACTACAATATAAAATATGCTAAAATATTGTCTCTTGCAAAAGTGTTGAAGATGCTGAACTACACCACCTCCAGTATGTGCTTCGGCAATCTTTTCTCCACGAAAACCATTATCAGATGGCTCAAAGCTCGACGAAAAAGTGGGCTGCGGAATCCACTCTGCGATGCTCTCAATAAATACAATATAAACATGAGACTACCAGGCCACTATAGAGTCTTCCAAGCACAACTCTTTGCTTCCAGGATAATCAATTACAATAAATTCCGACAGTCAAGCTAACCACACAAAAGTGTATGCTTAAACTGGCCTTTGCCAAGGACCAAACTCCAGATGGCTGCAAGGAATCAAGAGCAACATAATCAGATAGCTGTGACCATAATTGCATGTGAAAAAATCAAAACATCTTATACGCTTAGACCAGGTCTCCAATGTGCTACCGAATGTAGGGATGAAAATGAGTATATAGAACACAGCCAAAGTCACTGTTCAGCTTCAACATCTGCGCGACTAAAGTTTTTCGGGAACCACTTCTTCGAATGTTTCGTTGAAGTAGGAATCGTTGCTTTTGTAAGGCACACGAAATGGTTCGAAAATTTAAGAAACTAAGTACAAGAACCCCCAAGTACGTTGGTCACAGACCAGCAGGCACATCCACTCAACTCAACTCATCTGCGATAAAAGTTAAGTAGACAAACGAGAAATTGATCTTCAGACTAATGATAATAAACCACTGAAGGGTTAAAGAAAATTGAGTTTTATATGCATTTTAGTGATTTTCGAACAAGCTACTCCCCCAATTGATGCTTTATTTAATTAAAGCCGCCTCCGAATGGCCTATGGATTTTTATGCGCAGCTTTTAACTCATGTCAGAAGTACCCTTGGGAGACTTTCGATTGCCTGCCGCGGACGATCACAATTAGAAAAAGAAATTTTCTATAACTTGGGTTGTTAGTCCAACCAAAGTTCGAATATATGACCTTCCGTATGGTGGCCTATATTGCTTCTCACTCGGCTATTGACGATTTTTTCCGAATGACGGATGAACTTGAGAACGTTAGAAACGTAATGGGAGGTATCGACTTTTCCTGCCGACCAATCGCTTTGAAACTAGAAAAAAGACCTGTCTTTGGCAATGCTGAAGACTTTATACGTTTCATGGATACATAAAATTTCTAGTATTGCCAGTGTTTTCTTTGACGATTTGAACCAAAAATTCTAACAGACAGACAATCATGGCTAAATCAAATCGACACTTCATTCTAACCACATCGGTATAAATTTTGTTGGGTTTCTTTTCTTACTTACTTTGGATCAAAGTTCATATGCCATTTCGTTGTCATAAAGGGTGAAAAATTGCGACTTATTAGTCAGCAAAATCCACTATTTATTGTTTATGAATAATTTACTCATAATTAAATTAAGATTTTTTTTTACAAAAAACAAAATGCAAATAAAATATAAAACAAAAAATAAAATAATTTCTCCATATTTATTTTCAGGTTACCCTCAACCCACATATCGCTGGCTAAAGGACGGCATTCCAATCACTGATTTCTCATCCAGTCAATATTACCGTTTGCAGAAAACACGACGAGAAGATGCTGGCAGTTATCAGTGTATAGCAAAAAACGATGCCGGTTCGATATTTAGTGAAAAGATCGACATCGAAGTTGCGTGTAAGTATATTAGTGTAAGACAAAGAGATTAAAAAACTGAAATTCTCATATTAAATTTTAATAAAACTCGCTTTAAAATGCCATATAAATAGGTACTCAGTTGAAGAGCCATGTTTTGTTTTGTTTATGAATATAAATTAAATGTAGGTAAGAAAATCATTGTGTCAGCTTAGAAACAATGCCGAAAGAGTTTATAAAGATAATACTACCTTAGTATATTCAGATCATAACAGTTGAAAAACTTTTTTCCCAATAAAATTCCGACAGTAGCCACCGGGCAGCACTTTCTACCTTATGGCGTGAATACAAATCGGAAACTGACAAAGCAGTTGTGTGCCAAGAAATACTCTCTGAATTCATATTCGACAAGGCAAATACACAGCTTATGGGGTACAGGCATTACTCAAAAACCCACCGATCTAACCCAAATTCTTTCTTTTATGAAAGAGAACGTAAATAATAAATAAAGTTGAAATTCAAAAGCGCTTTTTGCTTGAAAACTCATCTGCTACTGTTTTTTTGTCCAAATGATATAAATTTATTAAAAACTCCACTACGTTGGGGATGCTGGAACAAAACTCCATCCCCGTACAATTCTGAATTCAGGCGTAAGGAAGTTTACAGCCTTCATCCTTTCTTGACTTCTTCCAATGCAGCTGTCTTTGAAGTAACCGAATAGGGGCCTCAAGTTCTTTATTTACTTGAACCTTGCACGTTAATAGTCATATGCTTTTGTTTTGCTTTTTATTTTGACAACGACGAACCCGGCGTTACCATCTCCCGCAAAAGGGCGCGCCAGAAGGATAACCAGAAAATCCAACAGACCGATGGCCGAAAACTTGTGCCTATCCGGATCGCCCTTTTCGTTATGGTTATACTTGCCTCGTAGACTAAACATATACAGATTTGTTCATTTGCTGCTACAAAATTACGCGGAAAAAATGAGTGGGAATTTATTTAGTTGTTTAAAGCACTCAGTAACAAACAAGGTTTTGATACAGAAAAGCGAGTCTTAGAAATCAATGCTGGCAAAATGTGTATGAAAATTGTTCCCCAAAAATCTAAGAGGGTAGTGTATTTCAAGGAATGGACTATTGATAACATGTCTTATCAATTTTGTTAAAAATAAAACCCCATGTATCTTTCTACGGTTATGATGTGTAGGCAGATTAGTGAGCCGTAAACGACTATTATACGAAGGGAGACTCCATACAACTAAGCCATATTCCAAAATGGGTCTAACGAGTGAAGTCAGTTGATAATTTATGATTCATTGAACTTCTTAGCTCCACATTTAATGATTTAATGACTTTGATTATGATTTCTTATATCTAGCTTAGAGTCCATTGTGACCCCTAAATCGATGAAGTCAGTAACTTTTTCATCATTGTGATGATATACATATCATATAGGCATAGGATTGGAAAGGTTTTCTGGAGAAACACATACATATTCATTTATTTAAATTTAGGAGCACACAGTTCGCATCCCACCACATAACTAAATTATTTAGGTCAAGTTGCAAGAGTTTTCTATCTTCAATAGAATAAACTAATTTAAAAAACTTGGCATCATCTACATACATGAGTGTTTCAAAATAAACAGCCATTGATGAATATAATGAAGAATAATGGGCCCAAGAGATTGCATTGAGGAACATCAGATGTTGCTGACATTCCACGTTATGTATTAGATTTAAAAATGACTTTTTGTTTTCCACCAATCAAGTACGATGGAGATTCTGTAACAATCACTAGAAACTTCATTTTCCTATATGGTGGAAGCCGAAGAATCCTACGTTTTGAACTATAGAAAGTTATATTGTTTCGAGTTCTTGTTGCACACTTCTTTTAACAGGACTTAATTGATGTCCTTTTAAATTAAAAAACAGAAATGCATCTCATACGATTATTGTTGTACTTCGTAAACCCTTCTATTGAGTCAAACATATGTTAATATAAAGCCAAATTTGCCCCCCTTACTTCCTGAACAGATTTTTTACTCTTCCTTCTGTTTCAGATATGGGTGTGTTTGAAAACACTACACTGGGTCACCTCACAGTAACATCAGGACATCCCGCCATTTTCGATTTGCCACCCATCGAATCGCAACCTCCACCATTGGTAATGTGGCAGACGGTTGAAGGTCCACTGAACTATGACATCAAGTATGCCGAGACGAAAACGAATCAATTAATTATACTCAGCACCGATGAAAATGATCGAAAAGCTTATCGGGCGCGAGCTATAAACACACAACTGGATAAGGAAGAAAACAGCGCCTTTATACAATTAAATGTGAGTGGCGATCCATATGTGGAGGTAGCACCGGAAATTATTGTACATCCACAAGATATGAAAGTGAAGCGCGGTGAACAAGTAGCAGTATTGGAGTGTATTGCAAATGCGCGTCCGTTGCACGAATTGGAGACGCTATGGCTTAAGGATGGCATACCCATTGAGAATGCAGGTGTGCCGCACACACTAAACGATCCATGGAATCGTTCGCTCTCCCTACTTGCAGCCAATTTAACACATTCCGGTGAATACACATGTCAAGTGCATTTACGTAGCGGTGGCTATGATACGGTTACTGTCAGCGCTAAAGTCGAAGTCTTGGAGCCGCCTACGTTCTTTACGCAAATGCGTACCGAAACATTTGGTGAATTCGGTGCATTGGTGACACTGCCCTGTGATGTTGTCGGCGATCCAATGCCAGTGGTAAAGTGGTATAAAAATGCCGAGCCCGTCGACATCAATGATGGAAAGTGAGTGTAATCAAATGTGTTTGTAAAGGGTTTTCCATTGGGAGGTGTTATTTTGAATAAGCTTTCGGTCACTTTTGGAGCTGTGAAATTTTTTGTGCATTTGACAAGTAGAAACAACGCCAGTAATAAAAATGGAACGATACACGATTCAACAACGCATTGAAATGATAAAAATTTCATCGAAAAATCAACTCGACTGATGAAGTCCATTTCCACGACAATGAGCAAAACATGTCGTATTTGGGGGTCGAAAAACTCAAGATTTATTATTGAAAAGTTACTCCATCCTCAACGAGTAACTGTTTGGTGGGTTTATAGTCCAACAGCATCGTTGAATCCTACTTTTTTTTTAAATGTATGGATTACGCTATCGAGATTTGATTAATGATTTTTTATGACTGGAACTTGATGTTATTGATAACTTTCAACAAAGCCTCGCTGCGTGCCCCACAAGCAACGAAAATATCGATATTTTAAGGGATAAGTTTCTTTGAATATCAAAATAACACCCTTATTGGAAAACCCTATATACGAGTATACCCAGATATGGTAGAGAAGAAATCCTGTGATATTAAATTTATTTATTAAATATTAATTGAGTTGCATACATCACTGCTGTTTCAGATATACACTACAAGATGACAACTCTTTGAATATAAAAAAACTTACACTCAAAGATTCGGCGATGTTTCAATGTCTCGCCAGTAATGAGGCGGGTGAGAAGAGTGCCTACACTTGGCTGCGTGTTAAATGTGAGTATTTATGGATTTTTCCACAACATAATTCCATATACATGTATATAAATGTGCGACTAGTTTTGACTGTATATACACACACATATATAAAATCTAAATGCTTTCCATGCTTACTCATTTACATATATTTCTTAACAATTTCTCATACTCTCTCTCTCTCTCTAATCTATCTGCATACTGGGATGTACATACATATTTAAAACTGAAAAACTAATAAATTTAAAAAATGCCTGCTTCAAACTAAATAATTGATGCGTGCAATACTAGCTTCGGTGGATAATTACCTTGAAGGACGGCATTCCATAGACGCTGAAGCTTCTACTAACTTCTTACAAAATACTTTGCCCTCATCTGCAACTAATAGTAAACATCAGCATGTGATTCCCTTGCATTTTGTTGAAAAGTTTCATTCATCGTCGTCGTCGTCGTCGTCGTCATTGTCGTCGTCACAGTGGCGCATGTTGCAACGCTTTAAACGTTTAGCTCAACCGCGTATAATTCGTGTTAAAGCATCACCATCGTACGAGTATTCTGGCATGGGTACTGGCTATCGGCGCAAGGATTTTCGCTTTGGTATGGGCGCTTAATGCTACTATCATTCACTTAATGCACACTTTAAATTCATTTGCATGCCTGATTTAATGTAAATATTATATTATCACTCTATACGCACTCGCTATGCTTCCATTTTCTGTGTCTTGTACGTTGGGAACCTCTGTCTATAATATTGCACGCTTTATTTTCTTATACTTCATATTTAGTACATATGTATATATGTATGTCGAAAAAATTATTCAAAATGATTTATATCTTATCAATAATTAATTTTTTGAGCTCATGGGACATTTCTAAATATACTGTGTATTCTCTGCAGGAAATACAAATATTCAAAACTTCTCTAAACTATTTACCAGAGATGCTCAACAAACGCAACGCTATCATTCCGTTTTGCTAATAACAAAAATGAACTCCACGAAATGAAATCATGAAATCGTTAACGTTGAAACCGCACAAAACTAATCGTTAACATAAATTTTAAAATCACTGCCTGCGATGACCAATCAGTTGTAACGTTTATCATTATCTGTTAATGCTTTAACATTATCTGTTTACGATTTAACATTATCTGTTAACGATTTAACATTAACGACAACTTTTCGTTTCGGTTAAAAACGAAATGAAATTTATTTTGATAACTGCGTTAACGTTAATATTTCCCAATGGCTTAACCGAAACGATAGAAATTTTTCGATTAAAATGAAATTTATCGTAACGATGCAGCCTTGTTATTTGCATTAAATTCTTCTCCTTCTTCCGTAGGAACTAACTAAGTTTAAAAGCCTCTATTTTCTAAACGCATAGTTTAAAACTTTGACTTGCTTGCAAATATGAAAATTTTGGAAAGTTATTTTAAAATGCAGTCATGCTTGGTTGGTTGATTAAAGTGTTTACCGAGCATCAGCTCACTTGAGCCACCAAACGGGCCCATTGTAATACCACTGAAAATCCTATTGAACCCCACTCGCTAACCAAACCAACGTAGTATCTTAAACATCGCTACTTCGATAGGTTGCCGCCGCTTAAGACATCAGCCTACTCCTCACAAAGGCGGGGCAATCGCAAAGGAAGTGCTTTAATTAATATGTCCTGTAAAAAAACCTGCAACTGTAGATATCTCTTTCCTTTTTAGCTCAAAAAGGTCACATGATCTCATCGAAACCTTTGTTGAGCCTACCATCTTGAGAAAAGGTTAGCCCCTCGACAATACATGCTCCTTCATCTTATGTAGCAGAATCAGATATCACCGAGGTGTCGCCGTCAACATGCTTTGCTATTGCCAATAGGTCGTCTAGAGGTGATAGACCAGGAATGTCGGACGGTAGTGACCTCGTCTGCTCCCCTTCACCGCTCAGGACAGTCACTTTCGAGACAGGCCCCCACCTGCGGAAATTCGGTTGTCACATGACTATGCCCGGCTCTCGATGTAATACCGCCCACAGATCCGTCCTCAATACTGTTCACTATTGATCGAATGGCTGTGTCGTCACCAATAGAGCTTATGGCCAGTCTAAATACCCCATTTTCGTGTGAAAGAGTGTCGATCTGAAAAACAGATGTGTCTGTAGATGGCGTCATGGTCTGTTGTTCAGATGATATGCTTCTTTAGGGTGGTGTCTGCGTATGACTTTCGTGCCTTCACACAGGGCACGTAGTCCGCTACCCTCACAACAGGCACTGCAGGTACTTCGCTGTCCGTTGCTGTTTGCTGTTTTTTGTATCGATTTACTCTCTTATCGGTCTCTTATCGAAGCCTTTTACCGGCATATTGAGCTTTTTCATCAATTTCGGACTTGGCTTGACCGACCATTTGGCTGGGTTTGGTTGCTAGTACCGCTGATTGCGTGCTGCGCGTCCAACGGCCGCACAGCGTTTACCAGCTCTTTAGCCAGGATTCACTATCTCTGCTGTCTTCCTTTCAATGGACGAGCGCGGTTGGATTTCCACTTTCGTTGGTACCACCTGAAATATATCCAACGTTATAACCTTAGCTCATAATGTTAGCTTTTCAGAGGGGATTCATGTCGTCATTCTCTTATTTCCTAAGACATTTTACTTTAATCAATAATAATAATAATAATATCATGGGCTTTATGACTGCAGAGGCGATTTCCGGCCGGACATTAATTTTTTTAAATTAATTCCATCCATCATTAAGCTCTGCATAAGGAGGTAATGTTCATTGAATATAGCTTCCAGCAAACAAAGCTTTAATCATTCATCGGAAAATTTAATTCATTAAATAACTTCTTAATTTTCCCCTTCTTTGCGAGCCATTTATACTAATTATCTACTGCAACTCCTTACAACCGATGGAGCGTGAAGTGTTTTCAGTCTGCAGCAAGGACGCACCTTAGAGCTGTGCCATTATATACATACATACGTGTACATAAGCACGTTTTCACTTTTGCTCACGACATATTTCGATTTCATTTACCATTGCCGCCCAGACGAGAAATATTGAAAACAAATTATGTAGTTGCCCTTACGACCATTCGACGTTCGGCAAACAAGCACAAAGAGTGGAAAACAGAAGAATGTGCGTCTTGGTGCGCATGAATAACTTCGAAGTTGGCTTGACTGTACTTCAACTATTGATTTTGAAATACTTCGATAGCTGAAGAGAAGTTTCATTTTAAGTGGTAATTAAATTCATTCGAATGCCTCATTCATTATAACTCGCTTTTCATTTTGTTTTTAATTTCTTTTTTTTATCAAACTTTTCTCTGCTGTCCTTTTGTTATTGTACATTTATTTACTAATTTAGCGTAAACGAGCAGATAAACTGTAATAAGAGCTCACACAAATGAAAAATGGCAATTTGGGCGATGAGCTAACTAGAATTTTAGTATATTGAAAATGTCGATTGCGTAGTATTCTTCTTCTTCTTCATTGACGTGGGCACCGCCTACACAATTATAGCCGATTTAACAATAGCGCGCCATGCGTTCTTTATCTTTGCTGTTGGCGTCATTTCGAAATACCAAGCGAAATCAGTTCGCTCTCCACCTGATCCTTCCCAAAGAGTGGAGGTCTACTTCTCTCTCTACTTCCATTGGTGGGTATTGCATCGAATACTATTACAGCTTGAGTGCTTTCATCCGTTGGGACGACATAACCTATCCAGCGTAACTACAGTCTCTTCATTCGCTGAGCTATGTGAATGTCACCGTATAACTCGTACAGCTCATCGTTCCATTGTCGGCGGTATTCGTCGTAGCTAATGCGTAAAGTACCATAAATCGTTCGCAAAACTTTTCTCACGAAGACTCTCAAAGCCGACTCATCAAATGTTGACATCGTCCATGGTTCTGCGCCATATAGTAAGACGGATAAGCTGAGGAACTTGTAGGGTTCGGTTCTTGTTCGTCGAGAGTGGGCATTGCTTTGCTTGTCAAGAGTTATTCTGCGGTATATTTCAATGTTGGCATTATTATTGGTGTTCATGCTGGTCTCTAAATAGACGAAATTATCTACGACTTCAAAGTTATGACTGTCAACAGTGACATAGGAGCCCAGTCGCGAATGCGATGAGTGTTTGTGTGATGACAGGAGATATTTCGTCTTCCCCCCGTTCATTACCAGACCCATACGCTTCGCTTCTTTATCAAGTCTGGAGAACGCAAAGCTCACGACGCGGTTGTTGAGGCCAATAATGTCGATATGATCGTCATACGCCAGCAATACACTCTGTACACTCTTACAGAATCTATTAGCTATCTGAAACCTCGTTTGGTATCGAACGGTTCGGAGAGGCCCTTCCCGATCCTAACGGAGCTCTTGGTGTTGCTTAACATTGGCTTATATAACCATATAAGTTTTACAGGAATACAGAACTCAGACATAGCGGTATAGAGGCAGCTTCCATTCGTGCAGTTGAAGACTGCTTTAAAATTGCCGAAGAGGTGGTGGTTGTCTTTTCACCGGTCTTTTCCAAGACTTTTCCGTATGGTGAATATCTGGTCAACGGTTGACTTACCAGGTCTAAGGCCACGCTCATATGGTCTAATCAGTTTGTTGACCGTGGGCTTTAGTCTTATTCAAGATATTTAAGAGCCTAATTCCACTGCATTTGGCGCAGTTGAACTGGCGCAGCCAAACTAAATTAAACCAACAAATAAAATTGGCGGTCGCGGTAGCCGACCATTGCGTACTATCATTCAGAAGGTTCGGATCAAAATCTTGGTATGACCAACATTCAAAAGTTATAGAAAATTAATTTAAATAAAATTGAGTTAAATTTTCGAATTGCTGTCGCCCATGGGCAGGGATTGTCAACCTCTCCGAGTGATTTTCTGACATGAAAAACAAAAGCTGCTCATAAGAAAAACCATCAGCCGTTCGGGGGCGGCTTAGTATATATATGTCCCTCCATTTGTTGGGTAAGCACCAAGACGCAATACTTAGAGGAGGTGCTTGGCCGAAAATCGCTTCAGCGGTTACAAAGTGAAAATTATATACATATATACAATAATAAAACGAGAACAAATCAACTCTTTTATTGCCTGGGCATTGAATGGGTTGGGGTATTATATATATAATTGGTGAAATATGTACCCGATTAGGATCAACAATAAATTTGTAGCAATCATGTGTTACCATTGACACCGAGAATTTGCTGCGATATGATCAAATGAGCTGCCGAATAACTGTTATTAGCAGTGTTTAGAGTTGGTCAAAGTTCGTGTAGCACCATGGAGTACATGAAAAGCAAGGTTTTTATTTTTTTTCTAAAAAGCCTGAAAGGTGAATAAACTCCTTGGCGCACAAATTATCATAAGAGCACATAAACCGTAAAAGTGTCCTTTGCGAGTTAACGTGTTTACACGCAATAAATATAGTAACATACTAAAAACCCACAAGCCGCTGGCATTGCACTCCCCGAATACACCTGCATGCATTTAATAGTTGCTAAAAGCTTTAGCTCACACTGCACATTCTTCAAACAAACGACCATTTGATACGAAATATTTATGTAATAAAGTGTTCACCGGTCGTGCCAACAATGCCGTATA